AGAGACAGAGAGACAGAAAGCGAGAAATCGCCCCCCAGGGGAGATGGCCATGCCGCAATCCCTTCTCCTCCATTCTCGTCTAGGGATCTTGGGCACGCACGCACACGCACCCGGCATGAGTTTTAAGCCACCTGGTCCGGGACATGAACCGCGGTCGACTACGTGGGAGTCCAGCGACATAGCCATTACACTAACTACTAGTCCTGGTATAGTTTCTATCAAAGACAGTTTGGAAGGATATTATTCAGTACTTTTTCAGTTTAGGACAGTGTCTTCCTCCTGGAAAGGTTGATGGGCACCATGGCATACAATTGCCCCCCCTTAAAATGTAAGTGCAAAATTGTTGAAAAAAAAATTTTAAAACATCTATGAAGGCTGGCCCTGTAGTGCAGTGGTTAAGGGAGTTAAATCCCACATAATCAAATGCAGTTCAAGCATCAGCACCAGTGGCTTGAAACACACATTAGACACGTATACATGTGTACCCTAAATCTTGATGGGGTAGAGGACTGGAGGAAAGAGAACTGTGGTGTGGCTGTGCCCCAGCCACTTTCTTGTTCTCACTCATGCCCTCTGGCAATTTACTGACTTTTCCAACAACCTAAAAACAAACAAACTATGATGTTTATCCATAGACTTAAAAAAGTCAATATAGTCTCATTACAAAGGGCATTTTATCTGGAATAAATATACTCCACTCAGCACCCATAAAACCTAGAAATACTGAGCTGTCAGAAAAGTCATGACATCTATTTCTATTTTTTTAATGCAAAAATGCATCATCACTTTTCTGATGACCCCATAGTTACATCATCCAAGCTGGAACATGAAGTCTGGCCAAATTTTGTAGAACAACATAAAGCCATAATATCTCTGTGTGCTCACCAGAGTGAGACAGAGAGAGAAAGAGGGAAAGTGAGAAAGCACTGTCCGCGGGTGACAGCCACACCACAATCCCTTATCCTCCCTTTCACCCTCCTTCCAGGACTGTGGGCACGCACACACATGCACCTGGCACGTTTCTCACTGCTGGGTCTGGGACCTGAAGTGCACAATCCGCCATGTGGGATCCAGCTGTGGCCGGCTCCCCTGGAAGACTGTTACACAAGTGGGTGATGTAGATTATGCCTTACGTAACTCCAGCTTTATAGATAAGGATGTCCTCTATTCTCACGAGCCTTTGATTCTGTGAAAGGATCTATGACCCTTTAAATCTGGGGGTTCACGACATGGCTAAGAAAATCAAAGTGTTCCCCAGTAAAAATTAAGTATTTGTCAGTGCTAACTTCGTAATATATTTAACACTCCCATTTGTGGTGGAAGAGAGAAATCTGATTTATTGTTTTCACAAAATCTCCTCAGACACAATCCATGCCTATACAGAGGGAAATTCAGAAAGCAGAAAACCATGACTTGGCAAGTTTGCCTAAGTTTACAGAAAAGAATGAAGACGAGGACCTAACCCCCAAACGACCAATCGGTCTGTTCCCATGACCAAACAGCAAATGAGATTCAAAGAACAGGGAAAGTAGCTGACCTAAAGTGCCCTAGCATTTTTCCCTCTGCAGCTTCTGAAAGAGTTTACGGTTTCTTTATCTTTATTAGGACATTTTCCTCATCAAATTAATGAGTCACTAAACAAAAGGCTTACTAAACTGTTTACATTTGGGACTAAACTATCTGCTAAGGCTCTTGGAGAAAAGACAAGTCATAATTTGCCATTGCTTTTCAGTGAAATCATCTGGGAAACGCAAGGCAGCATAGCTGGTAGAAACGGACAACGACAATGCGAAATTCAAAGTAAGTCTGTAAATCTTGAGGTCAACTCAAAGAAAGTGTCTGCAATTCTTTTTGCCTCGCAATCCTTAAACGTCATCAGCTCTGCCCTCCTACCTTTACGGAGTGCTTTCTGACAATTACTAAATAAGACATTCTTTGGGAATATTTTTGTTAAAATCAAGCTCTATGCATGGGACCAGCAGTTAGTGTAATGGCTATGTTGCTGGACTCCCACATAGTTGACGGTGGTTCAAGTCCAGGACCCGGTGGCTTAAAACTCACGCCGGGCGCGTGTGCGTGCGTGCCCAAGATCCCGAGAGGAGAATGGAGGAGAAGGGATTGCGGTGTGGCCATCCCCTCTGGGGGGGTGATTTCTCGCTTTCTGTTTCTCTGTCTCTCTCTGTCTGTCTGGTGAGTGCACACGCCCTATAGCAAAAACCTCTCAAAAAAAAAGAAAAAAAAATCAAGCTCTATGCAAGAGAAGCCAATGGGAACCTTGTGTTGGAGGGCCTTGAAGGAACAAAAAGGAAGCCTCTTGTCTGAGACAGACAAACAAAATGAGGCACATTAATAACATGGATAGAAAAAAAAAAAAGGGGGCCACCCCTACATCCATCAAGCTTTCTTCTGGTTCTATCTGGGCATGCACAGCTGGCATGAACATGGGATTGGTGGATCTGAGAGTGGATTCGTAAGTGAATTAGACATGGAGAGCCAGCAGAGAAGAGCTTGTATGGGTTACTCTCCACGCCATCTGAAAAGTTTCTAAAAAGAAATGGTTCCCTTCAAATTATTTCCATTTGGTGGTCTGTTCACAATGGTCAGGAATGCATGCATGTTCTGGATTAACAAATAGTACAATATTCTTTTTTTTTTTTTTAATTTTCAATGTGCTAGAAGGTACAAATACTCACCAGAGACAGAAAGATAAAAAAACAGTGTGAAAGCACTCCCCCATGGAGCAATCCGTTCTCCTTCATCTCTTTTTTTTTTTGAAATTTTGGGTAGGTATGATTTTCAAGCCACCAGGTCCATGCTGCTGGCCATGTTGGATCCAGCTGCCTTTACCAACTCACCACCAGCTGGTCCTACAATATTCTTTTAAACAAGCAACATGGGCCTACAGTTAGAGGTCAAAGGAAAGTCAGACATATGACGACAGAATTCTGAGAGTCCAGAAACGCCCGGAGATGGCAGGGCACTCTGTCCCAACAGCTCAGGAAGGACAAGAAACTCCCCCCATGGAGTGAGGATGAATGCCTTAGACTGCAGAGGAAACTTCAGCAAATTCCGTGGAGGGAATTCCTATCTCTAAAAGGTACTCTGGTAGTGCCCCCAAGTCAGAGCTAACCTGGTGTTTCCTGTGTGGTTTCTATCTCTCAGGATAGGTGACATAAATTCTCTGCCTTGTAGAGAATTTTCCCTTTATAACAAAGTTTCACAATTATATATCAAACTGACCCTTTCTGACTATCTTTTGCTTTCTTCACTTCTACTTTCACCTACATTAAGTTCTGCATGATCACTCCTCAACTTAGTTAAAAAACAAAAAACAAAAACAAACAGGTACAAGAGATGAACAATGGCAGAGCAGTAAAGCTCTGTGAGGCTGACCCACCTGGGAAGGTACCAGGTTCAATTCCAGAGAACTTCCTGAACCCACCAGGCACACATGTGCCTATAACCCAGGGCTGGCTGAAGCTGGGAACAGAACTCGGTGCAAAGACCCTGTTGGGAATGCCCTTATATTTCTCTTTCTCTCTCTCACTCATGAAAGAAAGAAAGGAAGGACAAAAAGAAGGAGAGAAAGAGAAAGAGAGAGACAGAGAGAATCCAGGTGCACAGAAGCACACACTTGGCTGAAGTATTCCTGGAGATCCAGCTTGCTCTTCCGCCTGAATTTCTCAAAGATTCAGGATGAGTTGTTTCTCAGTATAGAGGTTGTTTTGCAAGATGAAGGAGTTCTGGAGAGGAGTGATGGGTGATGATTGTGCAATAGTGTGGAAGTACTTACTACTACCAAACGGTATACTAAAAATAAGGCCTATGGCAGTTTCCACACCTGATTTTGGCAATTTGTGGGGAATTCCCATCACTTCAGGTGATGGAAATTTCTGGTTGGCAGCAATCGTTCCACAGCAATGCTGGGTCACCACCAGGTTCTGACACTCACCTGGGCACTGAAGTGTCCTTTCCTGAAGCCATAGTGTCTGCATCAGGTGTGTGTGTGGGGGGGATGTCACTCATTTCTCTTCCTCATGGGAATCAAAAGAGAAATATTTCATTGTCCTGAAGTAGGAAGGGGAGTAAAAACTCCAGGTCCCCAGAATTAAGGAGAGGGAAGACCTACAGTCAATAAATCATCCAGGCCCAGCAGATGGCGTAATGGTTACATCGGTGGACTCCCACATAATCGACTGCTCACACCGGGTGTGTGTGCATGTGTGCCCAAAATCCCAAGAGGAGAATGGAGGAGAAAGGATTGCAGCATGGCCATACCTCCCAGGGAGTGATTTCTCGCTTTCTGTCTCTCTGGCAAGCGCATGTGCCCTATAGCAAAACTCTCTCTTAAAACAAAACAAAAACAACTCTGGGGGCCACCTTTCCAACGCATATAAGAGTCTGGGACCTTAAAGGCATCAGCTACCTGCCCCAGGCATCGCTCCTGCCATGCTTTGAAAAGCAATATTATTTTGGGAACCAGCAGTTAGCGTAATGGCTATGTCGCTGGACTCCCACGTAGTCGACCGCGGTTCGTGTCCCGGACCCGGTGGCTTAAAACTCACGCCGGGCATGTGTGCATGCGTGCCCAAGATCCCGAGAGGAGAATGGAGGAGAAGGGATTGCGGCATGACCATCCCCCCTGGGGGGTGATTTCTCACTTTCTGTCTCTATGTCTCTCTCTGTCTGTCTGGCGAGCGCACGCACCCTACAATGAAAATCTCTCAAAAAAAAAAAAAAAGCAATATTATTTTAATGAAAAGAAGCTCTTTTAAAAAGAAATGTTCTAGATTCTCACAGACCTGGTTCCTTCCTCTAGAAGGTCATAATTTAAGACATAACCACTGTGGCCACACTAGTTGAAACATACAAACAGCAGGCTAGAATACTATGCCAGTGTTTAAATGAGCAATGACACATTTTTAGCATGTGTGGCAGAAGTGAAGGACAGGCAACCTGCAGAAGTAACCAGACCAGAGATGGGATGGACGATGAGGGGTGGAAGAAACCAAGAGCTCCCTACACAGCCTTGGGAGCGAAGGCCAGGCCAAGCGTCAAAGAGGGCCTCACTCACAAATAAGCAGGGCATGACCATTCCCCCGTCCCTCACTGCTCTGAAGGCTTTCCACAAGCTGACCTGGGGCACCCTGCCCAATGAGGCAAGGAGGAGAGGGAAAGGAGGCGACCTCATTCCTATCGGCCTTCAAGATAATTATACAAAAATAGCACTTGCATAGTGCTGATTGTGAACACACTTCCAACAAGATAGGGACTCATCCAAGGCTCATGACAGGTACTATCTTATCTACTGATGGACGAAGCAAGATATAAAGGGGGGTAGGAATGTGCCCTAGGTTTCAGATCCAGTAAGTGTGGAGGAGAGGTAGTTGTCTTGGCTCTTAACCATTCCACAATCGTGCTTCGCTGAAAAAAAAAAAATGGCTATTTATATAACTCTAGGCAAACGGAGGGACTTAACACATTCAGCACTCTGCAGCATGTTAACCCTGCTCCCCTTTCCAGATGGAGAGGCAGCATAGCACTGTAGGGACATCCTTCAAGTTCAGTCAACTTGGGCAAGATGTCAGCTCTTCCATCTACTGCCTGTGTGGCCACAGACAGGTTAATTTGACTCTCTGAGTACTGACTATCCACTGCATCTGTAATACATGCTGTCTAGTGTATCTGTGAGGATTAAATAAAGCTCCTGGCACATACACAATAGACAGAAGCTGTTATTCACCCAGGTGAAAGCTCTCATAGCATGCATCTGACACCTTTTCACCATGTAGCAAATTAATCAAAAGTCCATCATAAAGTAATGATGGCCAGAATTTAAACTGGCATCAACGGTCGGCAATAGCCAGGGCCCTACAAATCTTGAACAACTCCTTTACGACTGTTGGGCAGTGATTCAATCATTTTTCCCAAGTACTCTCCTAGGGACAGTAAAGAATCACAAGAAAGAGAAAAGAGATACACTTGCAAGTCAGAAGGTGTACTTACACTGCAAAAATCAAAGGTAAACGAAACTGATGCTTTACAATCGTCTTTGTTTGCTTCTAGAAAACTGAACACTCCGTCATTACTAAATCACAGAGAGGAGGGACAGCCTCCAATGCACAAAGGAGGATGGTGACATGCAGGTCACCTCTCTGAGAGAGAAACCACCTGAGGGGGGAAGCCTTGCAGCGGTGCCAGCTGTGTTCTTTCCTCCCCCTGGGGATTGAGCCTGTGGCCAGCCTCTGCTCAGGGTGGACAGCTGGCCAGAGAGCAAACTCGCTACCCAGCATGTCTTCTATGCACCTCCAAGGATGTGAAAATAGCTGGCAATGCCACCTGAACACTGCTGATGGATGTGACCCAGGCCTGCTTCAAACCAGGGTCAGAGGTCACACAACCAGTTGGACCAGCAGTATAGACGCCTGCCTCCGGTCAGGACGCGGGGATTCTCCTTCCTGGAGACGGTTGTATTTTTACAACAGGCTTTTCTATTTTCCTTACGGACTGCTTCTACTGTTACAGCACAAACCACACATCTGAAACAGTGAGTCACCTATTGGCTGGAATCCGAAGCACCAGGTCAAATGCAGTTGAAGCCACGTCAGTGCTCACAGGCAGCCTCCGTCCCACGAGTGCCCAGGTCTCTGCCACCAGAAACCACAGTCGGGACCATCACGGAGGACGCTGTCAGACGTGGGAGGAGGGACCAGCCCTCCTGGCCACTTGGCAGCACTACGGTTTCCTTCTCTACCGCCCCTCTGGAGGCGATTCCTGACTAGAGAAACAAACTTACAGTATTTTTTTTTCCTTATAAGCACTTCAGGTAAAAGGAAGTCCAATATGAAGGAGGATTAAATGAGCAGTAACAGCATTAAGTGATATTAATTTTATTTGTGGATTTAAGTTAAATTTGGTCTTTAGTACATACAAACATTAAAACAATTTTTTCATCAGCTTGAAAAAAAGGCAGCCATCTGTCCAGCTGTTCTGGACTTAATTCAAGAAATAGATGACAAAAGTTATAATAAATTAGAAGCAACTTTCATAGGACATCCAAAGTATATATTCTGTCCCCCCTTCATAATGCCATTATAACGTCTACAATTAAAGTCAATTTCAAACATTCTATAAAATTAAGTGGAAAAGATGCATAGCTGCAAGATTACTTCTGAAGAACCATGGAAGGAGAAAAAGACTGGATTCCAGGACCAGCAGTTAGCATAATGGCTATGTTGCTGGACTCCCAGGTAGTTGACCCACGGTTCGAGTCCTGGACCCAGTGGCTTAAACTCACACCAGGCGCATGTGTGTGCATGCCCAAGATCCTGAGAGAAGAATGGAGGAGGAGGGATTATGGCGTGGCCATCCGCCCTAGGGGGTGATTTCTCACTCTCTGTCTCTCTCTTTCTAGTGAGCGCAAGTGCCCTAGGAGACAGGAGGAGCCTGTTGAGGATAGCATAGCTCTGCGTCATCTCACAGAGGGTAAGAAGCTGCTTAGTGGAACATTTCCTAGAGAGATTTGAACCCTCTGTTGAGTAATGAGGGAAGCATGCAGGTACAGGTGAACGAATGAAGTGAATGAACATTCCAGTGAAACAGCCCTGGGATTGCAAAGGTCCAGGAATATTTTTCGTACGTCCTACATTGCCCAGTTTTTCTTTAACATAAGTCTGTTCTATCTCTTCCGAAATGTGCCTGAGGGCCAAGCAAGTGACATGGTGGTTAAGGCACTGGACTCCCACATGGGTTCAAGTCCTGGACCTGGAAGATTGAGAATCATGCCAGGAATATGCATGTGTGTGCCCCAAATCCCAAGAAAAGAATGGAGGAGGAGGGATCTAGCAGGGCCATCTTCCCTGGGGAGTGATTTCTCACTTTCCCTCTCACTCTCTCTGTCTCACTCTGGCAAGCATATGCACAGTATGGTAAAAGCTATTTAAAAAAAAAGTACCTGAAATGTAGTCCAGCTGTGTGGCACAAATAGGCGAACAACCATAGGAGGGCACGGTTACCTGGTGCCAGAGGCCACAGGTGAGGCCCTGGTTGGATTCTGGTCCAACCTAAAATCAGGTGCACCTGAGGTCCCAGGCAACTGGGAGGCAGGGGCATGGTACACCCTGTCAAAGATACTGTTCTCCTGGGACCAGCAGTTGCCATAATGGCTATGTCGCTGGACTCCCACGTAGTCGACCGCGGTTCGCATTCTGGACCCAGTGGCTTAAAACTCACGCCGGGCGCATGTGCGTGCGTGCTCCAAGATCCCAAGAGGAGAATGGAGGAGAAGGGATTGCGGTGTGGCCATCCCCCCTGGGGGGCGATTTCTCGCTTTCTGTTTCTCTATCTCTGTTGTCTGGCGAGTGCACACGCCCTATAGCAAAAATTCTCCAAAAAAAAAAAATTACAAAAAGATACTGCTCTCCACTCCCTCCTTCAGAAAAAGTAAGATAAGATATCCTGAAATGTGATAAAGAGAAACACCGTAAAAATTACAGACCTTCCTCGGGCATTCCTTGTGACCCCTATCTTCTCCAACTCAGTCATGTCTGAGATGTCCCAAGTGAGGCCCCCAAAGTCCCAGAACCCAGCAAGGAACACGGAGGGAAGAGGAGAGTCTGAGCCGGGAAATGCTGCCCAGTGCCTTGTAGCCACATTCTGATGCTGGTAGGATAGCACTTATTTTTAAAAATCCAGAAAGTGCTAATTACTCATTTCATGAAAATGTCTGACAGTTTCTTCTGCTCCCAAGTTTTTGCCTTCATCCCAATAAGCCACAGAAATTAAGTGACTCTAAGTTGCCCACGTTTCACAGTCTGTTAATTCACACAGAACAAAAATTTATGTTTAAGAGGAAATTCAATGTGTAATTATTGACTAAATAAACCTCAAAGTCATAGTTGACAATTTTCTTTTTTTTTTTTTTTGAGAAGTTTTTGCTATAGGGCGTGTGCGCTTGCCAGGAAAACAGAGAGAGACAGAGAGACAGAAAGCGAGAAATCACCCCCAGGGGGGATGGCCACACCCCAATCCCTTCTCCTCCATTCTCCTCTCGGGATCTTGGGCACGCACGCACACGTGCCCAGCGTGAGTTTAAGCCACCAGGTCCAGGACTCGAACCGCAGTCAACTACATGTGAGTTCGGCAACATAGCCATTATGCCAACTGCTGGTCCCCTCATAGTTCACAATTTTGTGAGCACAACAACTTAACGAGCACAGTTCTCAGCCGTTGATCTCGTATTGCAATCACCCGTGGGGCTTGGAAAGCTGGTGCTCCAACACCACCCCAAGAGCAAGGTAGGGTGGTCGGGGTGGGGAGCAGCAACGGCCTGGAGAAGGGGCCCGGAGAGAGGCACCCTAAGCCCGACTTGGCTTTGTTCTTCTGGTGTGACTGGGACAGAGAGGGCCACAACCTGTCTCGTGACTGTTTCCTCACCATGAACTCCAAAATAGGGCATTATATTAAATAATCACCTAGGTTTCTTCCAGTTTTGTTTTTTTCTCAATTCTCTCCAAATCCTAGAATTGTTCACTTAGGAAATGTAGCATCTCTGTGTGGGGTAGGAGAGTGAGTGGAAGGAATGGATCAAAGTGTGTCTCAAGCAGACTGACCCCACGGGGTGTGTGGGAGTCAGGGATGGGCATGCTAGATTAGGGGAGACTGGACAAGAAGCTCAGGCCATCAGAAAACTCTAAGACCCATTTCTTCCTTCTCTATATTTTTCCCTTTCTTAAGATACAGGAAAAAAGAAAAGTTAGAAGAGAGAAGGAAGTTCAACAACATTTAACAATATTTACCAAATGTGATTACGGCATCTTAGAGGAATAAGAAGGGATTTGGCTCAGGTGGGGTGGCGCAAACAGCAGGATGCCCATGAACAAAGGCTAAGGCTGCATGGAAGGAACAGCTTGGGTTCCCTGCCCGTCCTAAATAGGCCAGATGTGGTATGCCAGATGTCACAGCTAACAGGGAGGCTAGGGCAGCAGATCACAGCGTGACAAGACCTTGTCAAAAATATCCTCTACCCTCTCTCTCCCCGATGGCGGAGACCTTAAAAAGGGGGGATTAAATGAAAAGTGATATGGTTCCTGAACTCAAGGAAATTTGTGATGGAATTCAATGATTTTCAAACGTCTTAGTAAGGCCCAGGCAAGCATGTTAAAAAATACAAACACCTGGGGTCCTCTCCATCAATTTCCAGGACAAAGAGCACAGAAATGTTCATGTTGCTCCCCCAAACTTGACAACTACAAACTAAATAATAAGGGAAGCCAATTTCTGAATAATGCAGTTAAACACCCAGGCCTCTTAGAGCAACCCTGGCTTAGTTATAGAAAACAAATATGGGGTAAGGCCAGGGTTCCCATGATGTGCCACACAAATTCACAGGTACTTGGAGGGATGTCTAATTCCTTCAGGGAAAGATGAGAGACATGTTGGACACTGTATGAACTACTAGTTCAGTTATATTGCATGGAGTTCCTTTTGATGACAACCTCTTTTGGTGAAATCGGTTTGTTTTGTTTTGTTTTGTTTTCTTGCATATGTTATGAGGAAAGCCCAGGTGCCACGTGGAAGTCAATGTGGAGTGAAAAATGCAGGTGAGAGTGTCCAGCCTAACTCCCGGCCTTTAGGAGCTGCAGTGTCCAAAAGGAAGACAGGTTTTAGTAAATGACAATGGCGATGCAGAGAGTGACATGTTTTAACTTTTATTTTCTTTCCATTTATATGTACTATTTTTGCAAATGGCAACTAAGTTGTGAGGCTACAAATACCTTCTAGGTTGTCTGTACTGACCTACTTAATAAAAACTGCTAGGTACCTCTTTTGAAAAAGTTATCTATACACTGAGCGTACATAAACTACGACAGTCTTGGAAGGAGATTCTTTTTACAGCTCAACAGCTTCATTCACTCAGAACAGATCAAGCACTGAGTTCTGGCAGAGAAAGCATTCTCCAGACGCTCCAGAAGACGGCTTCTCCAAGAATTGCCAAATAAGACAGAATGTTTACCCACTGATCAGTCACATCATGAACTGTTTTCTCCCATGTTATGTTCCATGTTATGCTCCAAACACATTCCAAAGTAAGAATGTATAGATGGATTCTCTTGTTTTCATGGTAAGCATTATTCCATTTGTGTAAAGTCTTCCAACATGAGAGTCTCGTTTATTTCACAAAATGTGCATATTTTGTTATTTCAGTGACGGATGTGTCACCATGTCCAGTTACCCTCGTGTTCAGGCACAGGCCCAGTGCACCTGGGCTAGCTGCACCTGTTGGCTGCATAACCCCAGCCAGCCCTCCTTCGGCAGCACACCGCACCACTGCCCTGTGCTCACGAGTGTCATGGATACTGCTTTATTTTCCCCGCTAGTGTAAACTGGATTGTGATGGAGACTTCCATGACACCGAGACATAGAAACTTCCAAGATGAAAGCCAGGGGGAATAAACCTCACCGCTACCAAGAACTCTATTAATGCAGGGACCATGAAGCCTACACACAGGCTCTGCTAGTCAGTTCAATAATTCAATATTGGGGCAGAGTGATGGCACAGTAGTGGCACAACTGGACCCACATGGGAAGGTCCTGGTTTCAAGTCCCAGGACCTCCCTGAGCACAGCAGATGTACATGTGTGTCCATAATCTGGTCTGGCTGAGGCAGGGGTGGGGATCATGGCAAAAAAAAAAAAAATCTTATTGGGAGTGGCAGTGCCTCGCTCTTTCTCTGTCTCAGATGAAATAAATAGTTTTTTTATTTTCTAAAAAATTTGTCAAGGCTTCCTGCCTAACCTTGTGACTTGGCACGGGTAACATCATCAAGGCACATACAAAGAGAAACATCCTTCTGCATGTCTAACGCTTTGGCCATTGTGAAAGCTTCCTATTCTTAAATGCTGAGACTTTGCAAAATTATCCTCCAAATTATTGGCAGTTTCTGGAGTTCTCTTTAGAAAATGCCTGAAAAGACACAATTTTTGAAGTGACTATCCAGTCAAATCTCTGACTGAAAGAAAATTGTAAGTAACCAAGCAAATCTCAACTGTTACTTTCTGCCAATTAAATAGCCCCTAACTTAGACTCATCGTGAGCTAGCAGACTACTCTTCGAAAGGAGCTCCTTCCCAGGGAAGATTAAGACAAGATCAAAACTGAAAGCTTGTTCACATGTGCCAATTATTGCAAAAGACGGACGTCGATAGCCCTGAACCTTCTAAATTCTCAAACAGTTTTGAAAATTTCAAGGTGGGGTTTTTCACTTTAAGACAAGCCTTTCAAATAAAAACAAATTACAGACACGTTCTTGTCAATGGAGCCAACTGGATACCAATGGTAACTACAGCTTTGAGACTTGACATCCTTTCCCAGTATCCAGCCATACCAGTTTCAGAGTAAAGGCTGAGGACTTAGGAAGCTCTCTGGTGTGGGGGTGGGGCAGCAGAAAGAGAAGCTAAAATTATAACCTGGGTCAAAAGATAATTTCC